TTTCTCCAGGGAATACTTCCTCAATTGCCTAATCCTTCTAAAATTCCTGGGGACCTTTTTTCCCCCACATATATTTTTTATTGTAGAAATACCATACAGAGGAGTTACAGTTACATGAGTAGGATAATGAGTACATTTCCTATCTAGCATTGTTACCTCCTCCTTTCTTTTTCCCCTACCATCCCTCCCCTCCCCACCTCCTCAAATACTCCTTCTCCCCTGCCCTGCCTGAAATTGTAAAGTTCATTTTCTTTTCTTTTTTTTTTTGGTCTGGTCATAGGGCCTGAACTCTGGGCCTGGGCGCTGTCCCTCAGCTCTTCAGCTCAAGGTTAGCGCTCTACCACATGAGCCACAGCGCCACTTCCAGCTTTTTTCTTTTTTCTTATGTGGTGCTGAGGAATTGAACCCAAGGCCTCAGGCATACAAAGCAAGCACTCTACCACTGAGTCACCTTCCCAGCTCCGTAAGGTTCATTTTCAATATAGTGTCTTGTATATCTCATTGTTACAATGGGTCAACTTGTATCCTTATTTAAGTATTTTGTTATATCCCTTTCCCTCCCCAAATTATAAAAATGTATATACAAGACGCAGGACACCAGAATCAGATGCAGTGAAAACAGAGGTTATACCAAAAGAAAAGAAAGAAAAGAATCACATAGTGCATTATAAGTACATTAAAACAATATCAAGAAAGACAAGAACCACTTGTGTCCCTGTCTTGGGGTTCATTTTGCTTAACATTATCTTATATGGTCATATGTACATAGCTTTTGACCTTTTTGGCTTGTGCTAGATATGTACTAGTTATTGCAAATAAGGGAAACCATGGGATCTATTCCTGGGGACTTTTAAAAAGCTACTTAGCTCTTATTCTGGGAACTTGTCTGGAAGGGAAAGAAGAAAAACAGAGGTGGAAAGGAATATTTCAAAGGAAGAAAAATAAGCTTATTATTGTGCATTTTCATTCCTCTCTGAATAAAAGAGGACTCTAAATTGTCTTGCTTTCACATTGTGTTTCTAATCTAACATTCTGTTTCTAATCTAAGATGCTTAAAGCTCTTGCCTCATTTAGGGAGCCATTAGAGTTGCTATACACTGAGTTGGGTACACTGAGTCCACATGTTGGCTAGGTGCTATGGAGAGCCGAGTTGCCATTCAGGTGTCTGAAATTAGGGCTGGGCACCCACTATAATTTTTTTTTTTTTTTTTTTTTTTTTTTTATTTTTTTTTTTTATTTTTTTTTTTTAAAATTAAGTTAAATTTATTTTTTGTCGTCACCCACTATAATTTACAATGAGAGACAGAAGAAGGACAAGTACCAGTCAAAGGCATTTATAGATATATAATAATTATACACATTGATGACCAAGTTCCCTGCCTCCTAAAACTACAAGTTTAAGGTCAGGAGGAAACTCCACAAGAAAAAAGGTTATATTGAGAACAGGCAAAATGCATCCATAATTATTGTTGTGTATCTACAATTTACTTTTAGAACCAAAGGAAGGCTGACACCCAGAGGAGATAGGGGAGTTAGGAGCTGGGACAGGTTACTTTCTACTTCTGTGAAAAATACAGGTAAAAAATCTCATAATGTTAATGCTTTTGATGGTCTGGCTTCTGTATAGCTCTCCAGTCCTATTTCTGAGTGTTTTCCCTTGTAACTTTGATTAAATGCTTGTCTTTCTGTGAGTGTATCTCTCTGCTCTCACCGCCAATCATGTGCTTCCTGTGATAACTGTTTTCACAAGATTAAACCTAGTTTAGCTCTTGCAGTGCCAATGCAAATCTCTCCTGTCCCTATTAGCAGAAATACTCCACTGCTTCTAAACTGGGCCAAGACATTCTTTGCATCTTTGTTGTTGGTGTAGGATTGAAACTTCCAGCTTTGTATAATAGTTATTACATGCCTGTCTTATTCTTTTGTACTAAAATGAAAGCCCTAAGCACAAACTCTATAAAGGCTTCAGCTGTCAGACTTACATGTAAAATCTTCATCTAGTACTTTATACAATGGCTTCAATAAATATTGAGACAGTTGAATGTCATGTCAATCTATGATTTCTATACCGTAGTAGCCAAGGTAATGTTAGGACTGGTATTGGTTTGAATGGGGGCTTATGAAATCAAGCTTGCTTTTGGACTGAAAATGGAAAGCAGATCTAAGCTGCCAAGATAATCCCTAGATCCCTGGATGTCATAATGAGATGAATGGTGATGCCATTACTAAGAAAGAACCAGGAAACTAACATGGGGTGAAGTAGAGGAGGTTCAACGTGGAAGGTGCTGTGTCTGAAGTTTCTTTCAAACATGGGTATTAAAAAGGTGTTCCTAGGGCTGGGAAGGTGGCTCAGTGGTAGAGCGCTTGCCTTGCATGCTCGAGGCCCTGGGTTCGATTCCTCAGCACCACATAAGCAAAAAGAAAAAAAAAGCCAGAAGTGGTGCTGTGGCTCAAGTGGTAGAGCGCTAGCCTTGAGCTGAAGAGCTGAGGGACAGCACCCAGGCCCAGAGTTCAGGCCCCATGACCAGACCCCCCCCCCAAAAAAAAAATGTTCCTAGCTGGGTGCCGGGGTTCAGTTCTAAACTCCTAGCTACACAGGAGGTTGAAATCTGAGAATTGCAGTTCAAAGCCAGCCAGGGCAGGAAAGTCTGTGAGACTCTTATCTCCAATAAACTACAAAAAAAGACTGGAAGTGGAGCTATGGTTTAGGTGGTGGAGCACTAGCCTTGAGTAAAAATGGTCAGAGAGAGCACCTATGCCCTGAGTTCAAGCCCCAGGACAGACAGACAGACAGACAGACAGACAGACACACACACACACACACACACACACACACACACACACAAAATGGCTCTTGTAAGAGTTACTCATACAACATTTGAAGGCTCACATACTAAAGAAAGTTGGGGAATCATCCAAAGGGGGAATTTTCTCACAGGCAAAGCCATTAGAGAGAAAGTATCTTACCTAGTAAATAGAAAGTAAAATGGAGTCATGCATTGTATTACACAGAAAGATCCTTTTATTACTTCCTATTGATTTTTTTTCTGTTTTCTCTCTTCATTGTTTTGTTATGTAGAATTAAAATCCTATTTGAGAGAATTTATACCACATAGAGTCTTGCACCTAATAACAGTTGATAGCATGCTATCAGGCACTTTTAACATGGACCAGCAGAAGAGTTTTCAGCTCATCTCTCATTTGCTAATCTTTTGAAATGTGTCTCATAGCTGCCTCACACTCTGCCTTAAAAATCATGTATATGGATCAAAAGTGGTCCCAAATAGAATTTTTGTCCCAAGGAGCAAAGGGCTGACTTTGAACCTCCATCCTCAGATCTCAGCTTTCTAAGTAGTCAAGATTACAGGCAGGAGCCACCAACATCTGGCTCGGGTAATATAATACTTTAAAGTGTAACAGTCAAAATAAGCCTTTAAAATATTTTAATATTCAAGTTTCTTCTAATTCAGCCAGCACTCTAACACTGCCAAACTTAATTCAATAAAAAATAGTCATTGTATACACTAGCATCTTTATCCTGAGGAGAGTTGAATTCGTTGTAACTGATTAACTTCAGAAAGTTACCTTCAGAAAGTTCTTATATTCATCCTGCAATTTCTCCATACCCTTTTCCCACCAAAAGAAAGTTTAACGTGCTCAGCTGGTACTCGTTATGGTTGCACAGTTTGCTTGAAAGCTGAATCATTTCTTTTTAAAACAACCCTGACAAATGCATACTTCAGTTACAAGGGACAGCATCACAAATACAAAACTATGTGAGTTTGGAGCTCACTTTGTTGATTTAGTACAGTCAAGTTTGGAACCAATTTTACTAATGTCAGGAAGGGTGACAAATTGTGCATGATCTTCATGAAGACAAGTGGAAGCAAATGGCATATCAGATTCTTTCTTCTTGTCTACACATATCACACTGACATACAGACGCTAGGAGAAGAAAAATCTCCCACGTTCCTTTGATCTTTGGTTTGGAGGGTGTTGCGGATTCATGATTCAAGCTCTACTTCCTTCTTGTCCAAACACATACTTATGAAAACATACAATAGAAATAAGAGGACAAAGACAGGGATGGGTGTGGTAGCTCTCTCCTTTAACCATTAGCGATTTGGGAGGCAGAAGTAGGAATATAATGACTTTGAGGTTGTTCAGGCAGTTAGTGAGACCCTGTCTCAAAAATGAAGTCAAATAAAGGGTTGGGGTTATAGTGTAAGTGGTAGAGAAGTTACCTATAAACTGTGAGGCCCTAGGTCCTGGGTTTAATTTCCAGTACTATTAAAAAAAATGATGACGAAGCAGAGTTGTGGCTCAAGTAGTAGAGCAATAGCCTTGAACAAAAAACTCAGTGACAGTGCTCAGGCCCTGAGTTCAAGCCCTGGGACAGGCACAAATAAAATAAAAAATAAATATTTTGTCAGCACTGGTGGCTCACGCCTGAAATCCTATTTACTCAGGAAACAGATCTGAGGATTGCAGTTCAAAGCCAGCCCAGGCAGAAAAGTCCGTGAGATACTTATTTTCAATTAAGTACCAGAAAATCAGAAGTAGGGTTGTGGCTCAGGAGATAGAGTGCTAGCCTTGAGCACAAAAGCACAGGGACAGAACCAAGACCCTGAGTTCAAGTCCCGCAACTGCAAAAACAAAACAAAACAAAACAACGAAGACATTTTCTAAAACAAAATAAACATTAGAGTGGACCTGACAGAAAACACTCTGTGTAAGAGGACAGAAACCATAGGATGCCTCAAAGTCTAGGATTGAAAACTGGTAAAAAAAAAAAAAAAGAAAAGGCCTGGAGCATAAAAGATCCAAAATATCCTTCAAGTAATACAGGCCTTGATCTGGGCAAATAATGCAAATACTATCACCTCTAAATCACAATCAGAGAACTTAAATGAGTTCTTCTTCAACCTTAGCTACTGCCCTGGCAAAATGATTTTGAGTCTTTAGATAATCTTTGGACTTTGGGACTCAAGGTTGATTACCTGGCCTTTCCTGTGATTTCCATGCACTGTTGAAGGTCAATGAATTCCATTAGTTGTTTTTGTAACAGCACGTCTTTGCCCTCGATTTGAGTAATGAATTTGTGCTGTAAAAGATCTGACACTGTTGGACGCTTCTCATAATCCTTAATCAAGCACCTGCACTGGCCAAGAAAAGAAAATAAAAAAGGAAGAAAAGAAATCCAATTATGAAATAAGTCTGAGTTTGGGAGCTGTTACTCATATTCCCAAAACAAACAAACAAACAAATACAAATTGCTCTCAGAGAGTGATGCGGAAGCACATCTCAAAAAACAGAAAAGCGCAGTGGGATGGATGAATGTTTGGGAAAGTGTGCAAGTGATGAGGCCATGCTGGTACCAACTGTTGGCTCAATTACCACTTTCTTTCTCTCCCAGCAAGCATCACTGCAGAGTGATAACTCACCTCTGTCTCCACTACAGAGCCTCTTTTCCAGCTAAAGATCAATGAAAAGGAAGCCATCATAGTCTTAGTGTTTATCTAAAACATACACAGACTTCAGTTTCCTCTCCCAGTGCTTTTACTTCTCAATACAACCATTTCTTCCTAGTGATAAGATGCAGATCCACAAGAAAGGTCAGCTGTTGAGCTTTCTTTCACACCACTTCTGCAGGTGTGTTTCAAGGCGGTTCAGTAGATAGATGAATGGCGCTCACACCTGTCACTAGATTCAACCAGAGAATATACACAAGAAAAGACAAGGCTAGTGAATTGCCTGCCAGGAAATCACAGGAGGTGAGTTTGAACAAACAATGACAGATGTCTTCAAATATTTGAAAGAGAGATTTGGCTTGCTCTCAGTGAATACAAAGGGGAAAAACCCACACAAGAAAAACCAAACAACCCCCACCACAGGTCTGGTGGGGTCAAGAGGAAAGCAGTTCAGCTCAGTGTAAAGAACTTTTTAAGTGAGGATTTCCAAGATAGAGTCAACTGTAAGAGGAAGCATGGTTACATATTTGTTTTTATACCAGTACTGAGGCTTGAATTCAGGGCCTCAAGTCTAGGCTTATTCTTTTCCTCTACCATTTGAGTCATATTTCAACTTCTGGCTTTTTGGTAGTTAACTGAAAGTACGAGTCTCTCTGACTTGTCTACCCAGACTGACTTATAATCATAATCCTCAGATCTCAGACTAATCTCAGAATATAAGCATTGGCACCCAACTTGAAGCATGACTATTTTTTTTTTTTTTTTGGTCCAGTCGTGGGGCCTGAACTCTGGGCCTGGGCGCTGTCCCTCAGCTCTTCAGCTCAAGGCTAGCACTCTACCACTTGAGCCACAGTGCCACTTCCGGCTTTTTTTTTTCTTTTTGCTTATATGGGGCTGAGGAATCAAACCCAGGGCCTCGAGCATGCAAGGCAAGTGCTCTACCACTGAGCCACCTTCCCAGCCCCAGCATGACTATTTTTATATGGTATGTACTGATAGAATGTCAGTCAGTTCATATATTCCTAACAGATATGAATTTAAAGCATATAACTTTCCAGAAGTTATATAGTAACTTCTGTATTTCAGACTCAAATAGAGATTCCGTAATTATGAAAAAACTTCATAATAATGAAGAAATAAGAGGGAAAAAGCACAGCATACCTGTAATTACACCTGTATACATCTGTAATTACAGGTACTTGGAAGGGGAGGACCATAGTTTAAGGCCATCCTGGACTAAGTTACTACTGGACCTTATTTGAAAAACAAACTAAAACCAAAAGGACTGGAGGCATGGCTCAAGTGGTAGAACTGTTTGCTTCACACCATAAGGCTTTGAATTCAATCCCCACAAAACAAAAATAGGAAAAAGAGAAAAAAAAGCACCTTGTTTTTGCCATCAGCAGTGTATTGATAATCTGCATTGTTGATATTCCTGCGATGATAATTTGGCAATTTATGTCACTGGGCTTAACAAAACCAACAAATTCCTAAGGATGCTAAAATATGCTAAGAAATAAGAATGATGATACCCCAAAACGTGAATAATGATCCTATGGTTTCATTTACCTTAACAGAATGCAACAGTTTCTGACACATGTAACACTCCTATCTCCTCCGAGGAGACTCATAGTCAAGTAAAACATTACCCAACAGCCCACGTGCACCGGGTACTCTGTTAGATACCAGGTGACAGTGATGAGGAAAGAGCATCCAGGGCTCCAAAGTTGTGCACTGCCTAATTGGAGAGAACAGGTCAACGTAGGTAAGCTAAGTGAGACTGGCTACGCCACTAATAGAAGAGCAGCACAAAGGCACAAGGCATAGAATGCTAACTAGGGCACTGAGAAACAGGTAGGAGAGATTAAGTACCAACAGGATCTATACGAAGAGATCTTGTGCACCTAAGGCAAACATCGTGAGTTATGGGGATTCCTTTCAAATCTCCAGCGATGGTCTCAAGAGACTCAAGAACTGGGATGGCAGTATGTTAAATATAATAATGCATAGTACATGCATAGTGACAGCTTTATAGAAGAGTTTATCAATCCATCTTGAATTCTCATGAACTTAAATCTATGTCTCTTGCCTTTAGAAGAATTAAGCAGATACCTTTGATAAGAAACACCAATAGCAATGTTAGTGGGTGTAGTTGTGTGTTTCCTCTGCTTTCTTGTCTCTTTCTGCCTTTTCTAAGCAGGGTCCCCAAATCTGAATACCCACTTCTTCCCATTGACAATCAGTGGCATCGTGACTTTATTCTTCAAAGGTGAAAACACAACCAGAAATTGTGAAAAAATGAACATTAAAAAAAATAAATGGCAGACTCTCAGTTTTCAGTCAATTGTGTGGAGGCAGTTGCACTGGTGTTAACTCTTCATGAAATTAAAAATGTTGCCCGGATTTCAAATGCATCAGCTTTTTATAAATAAGATTTCTGATTCACTGTTTGTAGTGAAATTTCTCCAGCTGCACTTAGAATTAGCAATACAGATAAACAAAAGGGCTAAATGACTGACTAGGTGGTAGGTGAACAGGTGGGAGATGCTCAGGGCCTAGGCACACAGGCAGGTGAACAGAAATTCCTATCCAGAAGATAAAGTGTCCACAGAGCAGGAGGTACGGGAATAAAGTTGACCTTGAGGTCGCTGTCCTATCAATGATGAATACACTGAACATTTAGAAGATACCAATAAGGACTTGTTTTGCAAAACAGTGATGGTAACCTCTGGAACTACTTAGCAGATAAGAAGAACTGGCTAGGAGGGAATTATGAAGCCCAGTGACATGTTAAGAGGCACATTTCCCCATTAGGGTAAGCTTGCAACTTGGTTGTTACTCACTTGCTAATGAAGTCATTGAATTCTGCTGACCATAGCTGGGGCTGCCTTAGTTTGGGTGGTGGGTTCCTAGAAAAAATAAGAATCAGGGTTGGATAGAGCACATTGGCAGGGTAGTGCAGTCTGAGAAGCATAACTAGATGGGTGCCATGAATACTGCAATCACAGGTTCTGCCAGTATAAGGAGACTCCCTTCCTTCTCCAGTTCAAAGAAAGATAATTAGCCATGAATCATTCTATTGTTGTTTTTTTTTTTAACTTGGTCATGGGACTCTGGGCCTGGGCACTGTCTCTCAGCTCTTCAGCTCAAGGTGAGCGCTTTACCAGTTGAGCCACAGCACCACTTCTGGTTTCTGGTGGGTAACTGGAGATAAGAGTCTCATGGACTTTCCTGCCCAGGCTGGCTTTGAACTGAGATCCTCAGATCTCAGCCTCCTGAGTAGCTAGGATTACTGGCGTGATCCACCATCTCCCACCAATCATTCTTATTCTTAATATAAAGTGACAACTTCCTTGTTTCTCTGAAAACACTTGATAGATGACTCCATTTTTCCAACGATTAATTTTGTTTAGATTCTTATAAACTTTATTTCAGTGCCCCAAATAGGCCAATAAAAATATACCAATATAAAGGCTGAGCAAGATGATAGTGTGTCATTTTGTGTGTGTGTGTGTGTGTGTGTGTGTGCTTGTATGTGTGTGTTTGTGTCCCAGTACCAAGGCTTGAACTCAAGGCCTGGGCTCTGTCCCTCAGCTTCTCACTCAAGACTGGTGCCCTACCACTTAAGCCACAGCAGCACTTCCAGTTTTTTGGGGATAATTGGAGATGAAAATTTCATAGATTTTCTTGCCTGGGCTGGCTTCAAACCAGGATTTCAGATCTCAGCCTTCTTGAGTAGCTAGGGTTATAGACATGAGTCATCTAGTGCCCGGCTATGTTACTACTCATTTTATTAACTAAAAAGGTATAGATGATGTAATTTTTTTTCTTTTAAAGAATATTGCTTTTACCTGAGAGTCCCAAAGTAAGATATAATTGGTAGGCTAGAAACAAGGTTGAGGGAAGTGAAGATTTTTCTTCTTGGGAGTCCTGCAGAAGTCCCTGAGGACTACCCAGCATGCATTGAGGGTGACCTAATACGGAACTATTCCCAGTGGGGAAAAGCTCTAAAGTAGAAAAGACGGTACAATAGACGGCAGTGATGAGTTCTTTTGTTGCTGGATACACAACAGGAAACCAGTCTTACAGAGTGTTCCAAAAGCAAGGAACTGGAAAGTATTATTAGCTGGAAAGTTCTGAATGCCACTTAAAAGATTTTGTTATTAATCCACTTCATTTTTAAGCCGAACAAATCTTTTCTTCTTTGGCACACCCATGCATAAAAAAGAACATAACTGGAAAATGAGGCTAGTCCAACTCCATAATCAAGCAACATTGATCAACCGTGAGGGCTCCATTTGCTGAAGTGCTGCTTTTATGTTCATGCTAACAGCCCTTTGTTTTCATTAGTGGAATGGAAATACTTGGTCTTCAGTTCTGCATTACTCCTTAAATAGTTTATAAGGAAATTAATGTACAGTTTGTACAGGCTCATTAAAGAAAAGTACAGCTACTCATCTACCCTAGATCACGCCTAAGCTCATTTCATAATTCTTCTGACTATTTGAAGATTGCTGATTAGTGCAGTAAAACATTAAAAAAAAGTAGTTCTTTTTCCCCCAGCAATCTTACTTTGTTTTCTTTTTTGTTCCCTGAAAATTTCTTTCCATGAGACTTACTAGCCTACTTGCAGTATAACGAAGGTTTTTGAGGATTTTACAAAGCTCAGAACTAGCTAGCTTTTCAGATCTCTTTTTCAAGTAATTCTATGTTCAATAATCTCAGGATTTCATAGTGGAGATATTCTAATGGTACAAACAAGAAATAACCAACCTGCTACTGTTTCTAGAATTGTTTGGCATACTGCCTACTACCAAGATATAACCTATCTGTTTGTCTTCCTTCTTCCATGTGGTATTGTCACCATGAATAATAACATTAGATTAGTTATGGTGATTTACATCACCATTAAAATGGCTCAGGAAGTACAATGCCTCCTCTTCATGCTGAAGGATAAGAGGAGTTAGGAAACACAATTTTCTTCCTATATTCTTCAAATTTCTTGGAGCTTGCCTGCAGAAAGTTTCCCTCTCTTTTCAGTAAGTTTTTTTTTAGTGCAAAACCTGAGATTATACTGGGATTCTTAGGTAGATTATATATATCTAAAGTGTTATGATTCCAAATGTGTAGACAAGTAATTTAAGAGATAATTAAAACCAAATTAAAGCCAGCGCCAATAGAGCACAACTGTAATCCTAGCTAGACTAAATAGTTGAATGTATTTGAATGTTTCCTATCGAATATGAGAAGTCAAAGCCTGGAGGAAGACAAATGGGCTATGGACTGTGGACCTGATGCCAGTCATCTGACCTTGGTATCTTGAAGAGTGCCCTCATGGGATGCAGGTCAGCCAGCGGGGGATCTCCATCGCCCAGCTCAATGGCGGTGATACCCAGGGACCAGGTATCACATCTGGCATCGTAAGTGGTATCTAGTTGCTGTTCGCATGCGATCACCTAGAAGACAACAATTAAAAAAAGAACGGTGCAGTTTGTGACTTTAACAAGTATATAATAAAGTGTTTAGAATAAAACTTAAGTGTTTCAAATGGGGAAAGTTCGATAGTGACAAGATAAAAAGCAGCAATCTAAGGAGAAGAATCGGCAATACAATTACCACAAGAGGTGGTATTTTTATTCTGAGAACAGAGAGTATGTTGGCAGGTTTTCAAATGTAATGGAAGAAGCAGAGAAAAGGAATGTTTTTGAAAAGGTAAAACAAAAAGAGAAAGGAACCAGTATCCTTGCTAGAAAGGATCCCACACACAGCTAAAGATTGCACAGTACCTGTCATTCCACAAACTCTACCTGAAGAATGGAGACATTCACCCGGGCGGAGAGAAAGAATGAATTCTCCAAAAACTAAGAGTGGAGTAAGTAAAGCAAGATAAACTTGATAACAGGCTAGCTGAAAGCCTGAATCTTTGTTGGCAATTTGGAGCTCAAGGTACTCATGGGAAGAATGAACCAAGTTAGGAGAAATGCAAAACAGTATAGGCCATCAAGAATAATAATGATAAAATAAACTGAGCAAAAATCAACATTGATGAAGATTTACCCACAGCTTATTGAATTCAGGTTTAGAGACATGCCACTAACCCCAGGATGAAATGGACAGATGAGACAAAAAAGGAAGATTTGTTTCTGTAATATAATAAGACATACTTATATGTTAAAAATAACTACACTAAAAATGTATTGCTGAATATGTAACTGACTACTGATAGCTTATAAATAATAATTGTTCATATCAATGATCACAAAATGAAAATTCAGCTGGGCACCAGTGGTTTACTCCTGTAATCCTAGCTGTTCTGGAGGGTGAGATCTGAGGATCAAGTTGAAAGCCAGCCCAAGCAAAAAACCTCATGAGAGTCTTATCTCCAGTTAAACAGCAAAATAAATAAATAAATAAATTCCAGAACAAGAAGTATGGCTCAAGTGGTAGAGCTCTAGTCTTGAGCAGAAAAGGGGTCATTGTCTAAGCCACAATACCTGCATAAAACAAAAAAAACACAAACCAACCCACACCAACAAACTGAAATTTACATTTTGAAAATAATTTTCACATTGATAAAACTGGGAGTCTTTAGCTTCTATTTCCTGAAGTCGGAGCAGGCAATGTTTCTGTTTTTTCCTATTTCTCCCTACTTTAACTCTGTTACACTATATATGAGAGACCCTGGCTAAAACCATTTTTTGTTTAAAAAAGTAAATTTCACATTTTGTAAATGTCAACTCAGAAGGAAAAAAATGATTGGGGTGATGGCAAATTCGAGTTGTATTATTTAATTATAGTATTGTAAATTGATATGCAAAGTGTAACACTGAAGAGCTTGTTTCCAACATTTCTCCTCTTTATGACTCCATTAAACAGCAGAATAAACACACTTAATCTGTATGATGATACACTGGAATTTAACTGATAACCTTTGCACATATCTTTCAGAAAGGGAGACTCCTTCATAAGCAAGTCTTTATTCGTACTTGACACTAAATGCAATGACAGGAAGTCATCAAAATATCAACCTATCATTTCATATGCTATAAATCTATAAACCCATCAGTGTGGTGTAAAAAGTAAAGAGAAGGCAATGATTAACACAACACACAGAACAACACATTCATTCTATTGAGAAGACAGAATAGGGGATGGAGGCTGGAGACCAAGGCAAGAACTACACTCACTGGCAAGTTCATGAGCAAATATACAAGGAAGACACCAGCCAATCAATTCCAGGATTTGTAGGCCAATAATAAATATTTATGTAAATTATTTGTGTATATAGATATATATGCATACATGCACACACACACACATATATATATACAAATATACATACACCATGCAGAGAGAGAGAGTATCAGTTTTCAGCCTAGTCAATCTGAGACCATCATCATACACAGTGATTCTCAGTCTTTCCTGCCAAAATGTCTTTAATATCAAGAAGAGCTAACAGTTAAAAATTACAGAGCATAGCCCAAACCATGCATAAGAGTCACAAGTTTTACATTAAAAATTCACATAGCAAATACTCACCTCAGTATATTATTCATAACAACCCAAATTTCCCTGAACTGAATGGCTATACATAATATGATATATATTCACTATATAACATATCATATAATATATAAAATATACTATATTTAATATAATATCCATAAGTATATATAATTTATATCTAGTATACATATACTAAATATAAAATATATAGTATATATAATATTCCCCTGTGGTTTATATTATATATAAAACATTCCTCTGTTATATGTGTATATATGCATATGTATATATGTATACATGTATAGGCACATATATACAATGTGCATACACATAAATATATGTACATATATACATATACAGGAGAATACTACTCAACCATAAAAAGGAATACTGGTAAATACTGTCATATACGTGAACCTTTTAAAGGTAGCCAGATACAAAGTATACATATCATATGATTCTTTTTATACACAGTTCTCAGAACTGGCAAATTAATAGGGATAAAAGCAGATCAATAGTGGCTTAGGGTAGGAGAGTTTAGAAGGAGATGGGAGTACTCATTACAGAACATGGGTTCTTTTAGGGGGAAAAATGTCCTAAACTTAGATTGTGGTGATGACACAAAATCCTGTGAACATACACTAAAAAGGATAACATGACACATGTTAAATGAATGAATTGTATACTATGTGACTTTTATCTCTAGAAAGCTGTTAAAAGTTTAAAATATATTCACATGACTTTTCCATTGCATTGTACAATATACCTATGCCACAGAATAAAAAAGGCAGTTTTTTAATGCCATCACTCATTTTCTAGTAACATAATTACTTCAGGAAAATAGATTCACAAATAGTGAGCCCTAGTTTGTCTGGGACATTCCTGGTTTGTGCTTGCTTCTGTGATCTTTATAAATACCACCTCCGTGTGTTCCCAAGGTGCTGTGATTTATACAAGTTGTGTGGTCACCTTCCATAGTCACGATGCACTCCAGTTTGAAAAGGATGGCTCTATGTAATTTATAATCTGATCATACCGAGTGAATTTAAATTAAAAATGCCCAATCAAGGATTTCACGGTTTAACTGATAATTACTTTCAACAAATTTGCTTCTAAGATTTTAAAAACACTGAAGTACTTCCATATCATTAAGGTGAATATATTTGTTTACCTATTGCTCTCTCACTCATAGAAATATGTCATTTATCATGCAGCGGTGTTGAGTCAGAAGTGGTGACTTACAATTGTAATACCAGTTACTTAGAAGGTGGAGACAGGGAATTAGCTTAGGCAAAAAGAGTGAGACTGTGAAAAATAATTATAGCAAGAAGGGCTGGGGGTTTAGCTCAAGGGTAGAGCCCTTGCCTAGCAAGTATGAAGCCTTAGGTTTATTTCTCAATTAAATTTCAGTTAATTCTCAATTAAAATTCTCAGTTCTAATTTGTTTAACCCTAAATGAAACAAATCAGAAATAACAGCAACAATAAAGACAACATCCTGAAGCTAGAAAGCTGGTTATCCAAAAATACTTTCTCCTTCAAGATTAGAAAGTACTTATTATAGATATATGAATATAATTTTACACAAAGCCAAAGCATATATTTATATGATAGCTTGTCAAATTACAATGAGCCTTTTTACTTCATATACAAGCCATTCATTTTCTAAAAAGGGAAGAACTTTCAGCTCTATTTGAGTTACCATAGGTTTGTTAATAATATTTTAAAAATGACTGTCAAATAGTTGCATGGTCAGGAATACTTTTCTAAATGGCAAACTTAAATATATGATTTTTGGCTTTGCTGCTATAAATGAACATAAAACATAATATTAGGGTATTGATTCTATAATGGTATAATTATATGTTCTATTATAATAATAGGCATATAACTATTTTTATTGACTTCCCATTTTGTATACTTTTTGTTAATTTAAAAAGTACTAGTGAAAAATTAGAACAAACCATAAAGAAACTCATTTTTGGTTCTCTTACTCAATTTTGGTTTTGTTTATATGACTATTCTTTGCATTTTATTCTAAGATGTAGTTCTTGTTCAAAAGCTTTTGAACCCATTGGATTTTTCAAAACTATTTCTTAAAATGATTTATACCCTACATATTTTCTATCAAATTTCTGTTTTAACATTTTCATGTGAAATAATTGAATTGGTTTTCACATAGAAAGAGTGTACCAGGATTTAATCTTCAAACAAATTTAATTCGATGATCTTTGCAAATATGAATATGGCATTTGAATTACTTCTCCCTTCACTCCCTAGAAACTTATAATAAATAGCAGAGGATTTCCCAACAGTTACACAGAGAGTTTTCAAAAACAAGTGTTTTTTTTTTCATTGATAAGCATAATTAAAAAAGATTACAAAGCATGAAACACTGACTGTGGAGAGAAGATGTGACTGCTGAAAACTTTCCCTTGGCTATTTTAGTACAGTTCATCCAGGATTTCCCTGTGGTTATGACAGAATCCATTAAAGCAGAGCACAGATGCCAGCAGGTGAGGGGAACTTGCCACACACGTTGGTGGACCTCAATGTGAGTTCATAAAGCCAAGGGCCTCAGAACTTTCTATGAGACATAAATATCCACAGTGTGGATGTATGCGAAACAAACTGGGGGTAAGTTTAAGGAAAAATTAAAATGACAAGTAATGTCTTTTCCTCCTTTTTCCTTGATTCATGTGTAAGCCCCATACCAAAAATACCAACACGGACCATTTCTTTTGGTATATTCCAGAATATGATAGAATACATATAGAAAGAAAAGCCAGAAACGAGCAAATATTAAACCTGTCTTCTTCAACATGGCACCTGACCTCGGGGGCCATCCAGAAAGGTGTTCCTACGGAGGTGTTCCGACGGTGCCGGGTGCTGGTGAGCTGTGCAGACACACCTAGAAGACAGAGGTGAGATTATTTCTTGCATCGATGAGGCATGCAAACAGATTCCAGTCGGTAGCAATTTTCTTACAAATTTGTGCTAAAATTCTACTCTCTCAAAGCTGCCCTGGACTTGAACTTCACTTGAGCAGAGCCAAAATCAGAGTCTCTGGATAGCCACAATACAGAAGGGTCTTATTAGGTGCTATTGTTTTCATATCTAAGTCCTAACCATCCCTAAAGCCTCAGCTGAGGTATCAGTTTTCTCCCATTTGGCTTCGAACCTTTCCTCACTATACTAATTTCTACTTCCTTGATTGTTCTATATTTTAAAGTCTTTGTACTGTTATAATTCTTGCTTTCTCCTCCATTTCTCTATTGACAAATTCTGATGAATTTGAGAATACATTATATGCTATTCTACACATAATAAAGTGACTTGTGAATATGCATAATTATATCTTAATATGCATAATTATCCACCTTGGGAAAATCATATAGGATCTGACTGGATGTTTCAAATTAACATTTATTTAAACCAGTATCATTCATGTAATAAGTTCACCTCTAAATATTTGAGTTACTTTTTGTGCCAATACTAGGGCTTAACCTCAGGGCCTGGTGCTCTTAGTTGGAGTTTTCAATCAAGATTGTCAGTCTACCAGTTGGACCTCACTTCTGCTTCTCACTTTTTACTGATTAATTGGAAATAAGAATCTCACAGACTTTTCTCTCCAGGCTGGCTTCAAAACTCTATCCTTAGATCTTGGTCTCCTGGGTAGCTAGGATTGCAGGTGTAAGCGACCACTGGTTCTTGGTATTTAATTTATTTTTAAATTGATATACAAAATAGAAATGCTATTGGTATTTGTGGGGTACCATATAATGTATATGTGTAACTTGTGTAATGTTTAAACCATGTTAAACCTATCTATATCCTCAGGCACTTACCATTTCTTTATGGAAACACATTTAGAATCATTCCTTCCAGCTTTCTGAAATATATACAATACATGATCTCTATCTGCAGTCATCCTACTGTGAAATGGCACATCAGATCTTTTGCTCCATCCATCATTCCTATCTAATTAAAATCAGTCTTTTTTCTTTTAGAGAGATTATAATTTGAAGTCTACAACAAAGAGCTATCTAACTAAATATTTCAGTCACATCATTCCATTATTTCCTCCTGGTGAGACACATGCTAATTGGCCTCCAAGAGAATTGGGAATAAGGTCTTTCTCTCTCTCTCAATTTTTATATACCTGCTCCTTACACAAGGTTACCTCTGAATGGACAGTGCTCTTAGCTTTCACCTGCCCCAGACTTCATGGATTAGACACAAACCATGAGCTTTTGCATCCTTATTTCACACTTTTTCCATTTCCCATTCCTGACCCTGGGGTCACAGTAGTTTTAGGCTCTTGCTATTTATCTGACAAGCCAGGTCCAAGGAAGCACTTACTAAGATTTTTTTTAAAGTGAGGATATATTTGATTTCTTCAAGATGCAATTTGATGTTTGTTGTGAGATTCAAAGACTAGATTTGGCCAATGGGCATTTCAGTAGTGGAATCTTTGGGCAGAGGTTTGGGTGGCTATGTCCTAATTTCACATTAGCCGTGTATCCCTTAGCAACTTGCACCTGTGTGTAAGTTCTGTCCTTTTTATGGCCTTCAAGATTTTCACACACACACACACACATACACACACACACACACACACACACACATACATAATATTATATATTATCTTTGAGAAGTTGTACAAAGGAGTTGCCATTAGAAATGCAGTATATGAAAACAATGCATCTTGTATTCGTTTACCACTCTCCCTCATCTCTCTCAACTCCATGCCTTCCCTCAGTTTTCTTAATTTTGTAGGATATGCATTGAATTTTGTGACTGTTCTCTCTCTTTCTCTCTTTACTCACCTATTCCCACTTCCATTGAACCCACCTCCTACATTTCTAGTACTGATTTCCCGGTATTTATTTTGTTGATCTGTGAATTAGTCTTTCTAAGGAATTACATCATTTGAGTTCTCTCCTGAATCTACCATATTTCTGTTAATAATTTGTTTACACTTGCAAGTGTATGCAAGATTTTCTTTTTAAAAGTTCATTATTTGAAAGAAAAACATCATCACTAATTACATAATTTTTCCAATTCAAAGGCAATTATCTAATCAATACTTGGAGGATCTTCCTTAAATACTTTTAAAGAGAATATCTTCAGACAGAGAATCAACCATTAATATCACTTATCTCCCAAATCTGTCTTCTGCCTCTTCTGATTCTTTAGACACTTTCCATTTCATTAAATAGTTTACTTTGTTTTTCCCATAGGGATTAGAAGTAAAATATTAAGGTAGATTTTTATGATAGTGTCAGAGTATAGTAATTTATTTGTGTAAGTGGGAAAATGGATTTTAAAAGCAAATTTAATTTAAAATTGGTTCTAGCTGGAAGGGGTGACATTGATCAAGGGGCACTGTACTTATAAATTGACATGTTGATTTGAAACTCATGTGTATAGCTACTTGAAGATAAAAAATAAATAGAAATGAAAAAAGGCTCTAAATTTTCAAAAATTGATTCTGAGAATTTTAATCTATGAAAAAGTATATTTGATCTTTGATGAGTGGTTCTATCTCAATTTTATAAAGATAACTGAAGAATTCAAATGTCATTGAAATGAGATGTGAAGAAGAACAAATATAAAACCCAACCAAGCAGATATCAAGTTTTGCTCCTAGCAGGAAAATTATATTCTAGATTAATCAACATTCTTTTCTTTCTTTCTGGACATGAATTGCTGTGTTGTTGTTGTTTTTTTAAATCCTAGAGTCAGGATGTACAGATCAAGATGGCTAGAAGGATTCTCGCTCATAGAAGGATAGGATTAAAGAGTTTTGAGATTGTGGCAGGTGACATAGATTGTCACTCTTTTAATTAGAAATGTAACTCTATCAAGATGCATTATGCTCATAAATTGGCATGTTGAATTGAAACTCTTTTGTATACCTAGTTGAAATTAAAAAAGAAATGTGATTTGGGTGGAGACACTTATGGAGGGGATGAATATAGTTGCTATATACAGCAGCAAGGCCTTTGGCCTAAGTCCAGGATCTTTCCCTGCAAGGCCCAGAGCAGCCCCAGTTCTCTTCTTAGGAGGTCAGAGGGTCAGTTTCTTCTGTGAGCTGTGGTTTTTAGTATCCCTATCTAAGTGAATCAGAGTTAGTTTCTGTTGTTTAAAACAAAGGAACCCTGAATACAAACCCCAGTGCTTTGGTATCTACAATTAGCAAATTAACAACAATGCTAGTCAATCATGAGTTGATAAAGGTTAATATATGAGATGATATTATATGTATATATTTGCATTATTATTCGGTTAAGAATTTTGTAGGGCAAACATTTGACCTTCAGGTTTTCCCATCTTTCTTTTATTCCCTTCCTTCCTGACTCCTCCCTCCCTCTCTCCAGCTCTCCCTCCCTGCTTTCCTTCCTCCCTTTTTCCCTCCCTCCTTCCTCCCTTCCTCCTTTCCTTTCCATTCCTTTCCTTTCCTTTCTTTCCATTTCCTCTTTTATTTCCTTTTTCTTTCCCAGTACTGATACTAGAGCTTAAACTCAGGGTCTCATATTCTTGCTTATTAGCTTTTTCATTCAAGGCTGGTGTACTGTCACTTGAGTCTCACCTCTACTGCTGACTTTTTGCTATTAAGTTGGAAGCAAGAGTCTCTCGGGCTGACTTTAAGCATCCATCCTCAGATCTCAGTCTCCTGAGTAGCTAAGATTCTAGGTGTGAGCCACTGGTACCTTACTGGCCTTCAAATTATTTAATCAAACATCCCACATGAGAAAAAGAATATTGAGTAAGTTTACTGCATGTATTACAGAGGCATATATTAACATATTAAGAAACTTATTAGTGAGAGTAATTTAAGGGATGGATATAATTATTTCTCAACTCTAATTATACTTGGTACACATACTGGTTCTAATGGCAAAAGAAGTGTGAGGGTAATGGATCAACCACCCTGAGAATCTCAGATATTACATGGAATTTATTGTCATCCTGCAGAAAGATCTTTTTACACATTTCCTGTAAGAGTGACTTGAATGATAAAAAAGAAAATAAAATCAACTCAGAACACAAAAAAGGAAAACACGAAGACCCGAACAGTTTTTTAAAAAATGTAGCTGGGCACCCGTGGCTCATACCGTGGCTCACAGTTCAAAGCCAGCCCGGGCAGGAATGTCTGTGAGACTCTTATCTCTAATTAGCCACCAGAAAACTGAAGTGGTGCAGTTGCTCAAGGGATGGAGCGCTCACCTTGAGCTGAAGAGCTCAGGGACAGTGCTCAGGCCCAGAGTTCAAGACCCGTGACCGAAAAAAAAAAGAAAAAAGAAAAAAAACTGCAACTAGGTAGAAAAAGAAATTCTTAAGACTCTTAGATAACTTACATTAAAAGCAAAATCACCATCTAACTCTAACAGTGACAGAGGAAAGTAGTAAATTTCACTGATTTTTTAAAAAAATGTTTCTGTAATGATTCTGATACCCCAAGATTACTTTATCAACCCCAATGTGTTCAAACCTAAAAAGCAAATTAATAGTCATAAAACAGACTTGTTGACTTATAGGTTAGCAAAATTAAGCTAAGTCATTTTCTTGGGGATGAGAGGCATTTTTACCTAGCCTAATTTCCCACCTGAAAAATAGCTAAGAAGATTAAAGCATGTAAAATTCTCCTCAAAATGATTGACATAAATTACTTTAAAAGGCCACAAGGATTCAAAGTATGCATGTACCAGCCCTAGGAAAGAAGAAAGATTAGGAAAATCATTTTGTCCAGAGAGCAACTAATAGAATAAGTCACCAAAAATCATTTTTGTCCAGAGAGCAACTAATGGAATAAGTCATGAAAGTGAATAGTTACATAATCACCACAAGAGAAGATGCTGAAGGGTGGAAAATTCCAGCCAGAAAGTTAGGTTAGAGAGAGGATAT